TTCTCCATGAAGGAACTTACCCACCCTTGTCCTGGGGACCCAGACATATAATAAAAGGCCCCAGGTACTGTGTGGGAGACGCTAAACAAGACACACTAACTATGTGCCAGCTGTAACTTCTTAGGAAGACTCTGTGTCGACTCTGGGGAAATAGTCAAACAATAAAAACATAAACAAGATTCTACTCAGTTTTAGGAGAAAAATTTTTAAAAGGAATGAGACATGAAGAGGAAAAACAATGTCAGCTGAAGAGGTTGGGAAGGGCAGATGGCAGTACGTCAGGTCCCTCAGTGCAGCATGGATGGCTTTGGGCCCACACTTCCCAAGGGCTGGAGCTCAGGAGGGGTCATGTGCACCTGCGCTGCCTGGGAGCCGCCCTGCTTGTAACCGTAAGATTGTCTTGGGTGGCCACGGGCCTGTGTAGTCATCCATGGCCAATATCTAATTTTCTTTAGGGAGCACCACTTTGGGCAGGGTGCTGCCACTGAAAAGCTGGGGTGTAATGGGGTGCTGCTGCTGGCACACTTGCTAGGGTAGTCACAGAAAGGAGATGAAAGGGAATCTAAATTGTCCTTAGATAAGGAACTCTCTTGTTTTGGGAATGTTCTTTAAATAGCCCACTGAGTAGTGCAGCATGACTCATTCTTCTTCCTCTGGTTCCGCGCACACCCTGGACAGAACTGGACACACCCTACTGTCCCACGGCTATACTACACCTCTCCTTCCTTCCTATGCACATTCATCCTCCCTCGAACTACACAGTAATCAGATTGTAATGCATACAACCAACTTAGATTTCTCTGTTATATTTAATGCTGACTTTCAAATGTTTGATTAAAGGTCCTACACATGCTCCACTTATCAATTACTCTGACATTTTCTCTGGCATACTAGAACCCCTCCAAACCTGGCCTAAGAATATTTGATCTTCTTTCACATTCAAAGCCCCAATATTATAGTGGTGGGGTGCTGGTGGCTCACACCTGTAATCCTAGCTACTCAGGAAGCTGAGATCTGAGGACTGCAGTTTAAAATCAGCCCAGGCAGGAAAGTCCATGAGACTCTTATCTCCATCTAACCATCAAAAAAAGCCACAAGTAGAGGTGTAGCTCAATAGTAAAGTACCAGCTGTGAGATCTGAAATCAGGTAAAATGTTCTTAGAATCTTCATATTAATAGAGAAATATGAATCTTGCTTTTTTCTACATCATCCACATTTTTCAGAATTAGCATTAGTCATGATTATACATACATGCATACGTATCTCCTAACATTTCTTTTTCTTTGTGTCAGTACTGAGGCTTGAACTCGGGGGCTACTGTAGCTTTATCACTCAAGGCTGGCACTCTATCCCTTGAATCACAGCTCTACTTCTGGCTTTTGGGTGGTTAGAGATAAAAGTGTTCCAAAATTTTTTAATTCCTCTTAACACTAATCCCCCACTTGTTATTTGACTTTGTCTTATTTTGTCTTTTTCCTACCAGATTGTAAATGCTATGGGATTGGGAACTTCCTTTTCAGAAACTAGAGCAATACGGGGCACATAGTAAGTATTCAATTAATATGCTTGGATGAATAACTGAATAAATGCTCCCTCAGGATTAATTCCTTATGTGAAACCATGTCTATGAATCCCATGCATACATGGTGTGGTATTAAAAGACACAGTACTGGGCTGGGAAGGTGGCTCAGTGGTAGAGTACTTGTCTTGCAAGCATGAGGCCCTTGGTTCAATTCCTCAGTACCATGTAAGCAGAAAAAGCCAGAAGTGGCGCTGTGGCTGAAGTGGTAGAGTGCCAGCCTTGAGCTAAAGAGCTGAGGGACAGCGCCCAGGCCCAGAGTTCAAGTCCCACAACTGACAAAAATAAAATTAAAAAAAAGACACAGTACTATATGCTGAGAGAAATTCATTTTCTTTAGTCTCCATCAAGTGACTTATTCTGAGCTTTTCATTGAGATATATGCATGGGCAGTCATATATATGAACCAGTACAGGGGCACAAGCTCATTTGGCTTGCTTGCTCATGACTGGTCCTCTACCACTTGAGCCATGTCTCCAGGCCCAGCTTTATGCTGGTGAATTAGAGATAGAATCTCTCAGATTTGTCTGCCTGGGCTGGCCTGGAACTACAGTCTTCCAGGTCTCAGCTCTCTGAATAGCTGGGATTACAGGTGTGAGCCATCAAACTCAGCTAGTATTAGAATAGTAACATACTTGAAGGACCATAAATACTCAGACATAGAGTACTTTGAGTGTTTTCTAGTGAAGACCAACATAAATGCTAAATGGTTATTGATATATAAAAAAACTTTTTGTGGGACTGAGAAGGTGGCTCAGTGGTAGAGCGCTTGCCTTGCATGCATGAGGCCCTGAGTTTGATTCCTCAGCACCACATAAGCAGAAAAAAAAAAAGCCGGAAGTGGTGCTATGGCTCAAGTGGTAGCATGCTAGCCTTGAGCTGAATTGCTAAGGGACAGCGCCCAGGCCCCGAGTTCAGGCCCCACGACCGGACCCAAAAAAAAAAAAAGAACTTTTTGTTATTTATGATGGTATATTATAGTATATTATTGTACTAGTATAATTGTAATATATAATCATATTATACATCATATATATTATATGATATATAATTCAGCCATACCTGAATCTCTGTTGAATCATAAATAAAGCCTAATTCTTGCCAAATCAAGCGTGGATAACCCAAATATTACTGTTGAAAAACACATCTCCAGAATACCTAACACATAGTCCTATACTATACTATACTACCCAAACCTGGAAAATGCAACTCACTCCCTCACTTAGTTACCTATACCTTTACTCATCTCCTTTTTCTACCTAAGAGTTTATTCATTGCCTAAAAAATATTTTGCCCTAGTGTCCTAAATTTAGAAATACAACAAGATCTACCAAAAATCAAAGTAGCTGAGAAGCACTTCTCTTTAAGAAATATTAAGCCAGTTATCCTGCCCATGTAACTGTAACTCCTCTGTACAGTATGTTCACAAATAAAATTAAATTAAATTTAAAAAAAAAAAAAGAAATATTAAGCCAGTTACTGTAAGTTCAATATATTGGAGGTTTGAAATTGATAGATCAGATTAAAATATATATTTCTGAGGTAAATCCACTAAACAATGTCCCCAGTAGACAGGGAAGAGACAGATTTCTCACCTTTCTTCCCTATTTCTGCCTTTTTGTGTATATACCATTCCTGGGGCTTGAACTCAGGGCCTGGGCACTGTCCCAAGGCCTTTTGCTCATAGTTTGGTGGTCTACTGTTTGAGTCACAGCACCACTTCTGACCTTTTTGTGTGTATGTGGTTAATCTGAGCTAAAGAGTCTCATGGACTTTCCTGTTCCTCCTTACTTCAAACCTGAGTCCTCAGATCTCAGCCTCCTGAGTAGCTAGGATTATAGGCATGAGCCACCAGCATCTGGCTTCTGAATATGTCTGAAGAGAAAACATTCCAAGTAGAGAGATCTGAGTGGAGAAATTTAAAAAAAAAAAAAAAAAGGCAAAGCTAGAGGGCTGGGGAATGCTGACCATGTACACCAGGTCTTATTTTATGTGTCAAAGCGTTCAAATAAAGCCTTCCTACAGCCAAGGAACACTAACTCCTGAATTCACCTGAATTTATTGTTTACTAGTTTAAAACCTGGATAGGGAAAGTATGAATTGAATAAAGAGAGGGAGTAGACTGAAGAAGCTTGGAAAGCTGACATTACTGTGGGATAAGAATGGGAATTCGTATTGGGATCTTGTCCAATTTACATCTACTAGCTTAAATAAAAACACAGAAAGCCAGCAGACCTATAAAGTAATCCCAGCTACTCAAGAGGCTGAGATAGTACAAAAGCAGAGACACAAACCCAGCCCAGTAGTTAAGTCAGTGAGTTTTATCTCTAAACAGAAAAATGCTGGAGGTGGAGCTGTGGCTCAAATGCTAGAGCAAAAAGAAAAGAGAAGAAAAAAGGAAAGGAAAGAAAGAAAGAAAAAGAAAAATTTAGGAAAAAGAGCAAGTATATAAACTGGAAGGTTAATGAAGAAAACTATGGTAAGGATATTTAGGCAAACAAACCAGTTTTAAGCAACTTTGAAAATGCTAGGGAGGAAAAGTAGCAGAAAGTAAGGGTGCAGGTTGGGGGAGGATGCCAGTACTATCAGGAATGGCTAGCTGACAGTAGAACTATAGTATTTAAGGAAAAAATAACAATTATGTATCTGCGGGAGGGAAACTCCAAACATAGAAATTAAACTAACTAAAAAGCAAGAAGGGATAGAAGACAGCATTCTTTGATATTATTTCAATAACTGGGCTTTTTGGTAGGATTCAGGGAAATGGCATGGTACCTGTAAGTGCTACACAGACCTCAGTGGCTGAGCTGTGAGTGGGCAATGGTCTGTAAGGGTGGAACAAAAAAAAACCAGAAAGAGTAGTTAGAAGATTCTTCAGTATTCCAACAGAGAAATAATGGTAGTGGTGATCACTTGGGTAGAAACCTGAATAGGGAAAAGTATGAATTGAATAAATAGAGAAGGTAGGTTTCATCTCTAGTCATTACAAAGAGGGACTTCCACAAGGCACTGTTGATTCTTGCCTGTAAGCCTAGCTACTCAGGAGGCTGAGATCTGAGAATCAGGGTTTGAAGCAAACTCAGAGAGAAAAGTCTGTGATACTCTTATTTTCAATTAACTAGCCATAAGTGACAAAGCAAGCTAGAGTGCAAGGCCCTCATTTCAAGCCCTGGTATGGTTCATGTGCTCATGCACGTGCGGGCGTGCACATGCACGCACAAACACACACACACATACACACACACACACATATACACACCATGGCTATTTAGTTCCATTAATTTCATCAATGCTGATCAATATTTTACCATTTATTTAAGCAAGTACTAGATTAAAAATTCATAAAGTATTTGAGTACTTCCTGAAATTACAGCTCGTAGTTCAAAGTTCTCAATTTTAAATTTGAAATACAGAATTTACCTGAAGTTCTTTGTATCTATCTTGAAAAGAAATGGCCTCTTGTTCCTTTTCTTTTAGAAAGTCTTTTTCTAAGATGCTATGCTTTTCCATCAACAATTCCACATCCTAGAAGAAAAATCCAAGCACAAACTTTGTAGCATTTAAAGGTCTAGAATTTTTTTAAATAAAAAATAACTGTCAAGGAATTATTTCTTAAAGGCTAAAAATATGTATGTATACCAAGCGTCGGTGACTTATGACTTGTAATCCTAGTTATTCAGGAGGCTGAGACCTGAGGATTGCAGTTCACAGCCAGCCAGAGCAGGAAGGTCCTTGAAACTTGTAGTTCTAATTAGCCATCAAAAAGCTAGAAGTGTAGGTATAATTCAAGTGGTAGAGCACTAGCCCTGAGTGAAAAGCTAAGGGGATATCCCATAGGCCCTGAGCTCAGGCTCTAATACACAGTTTGTGTTGTTGTTTACAACAACAAAATACCTATGTAGGACCGGAGACTTTTTTTTTTTGGTCAGTCATGGGGCCTGAACTCAGGGCCTGGACACTGTCCCTGACATGTATTGCTCAAGGCTGGCACTTTGAGCCACAGCTCCTCTCCCAGTTTTTTGAGTAAGTAGAGATAAGACTTTCCTCCTGGCTGGCTTTAAACTGGATACACAGATCTCAGCCTCCTGAGTAGGTAGAATTACAGACGTGAGCTGAGAACTAGAGGTATCTTACCAAGGATTTTTTTCAATTGATACTTTGATATGACAGATTTCAACTTAAACCCAAGGAAAGGAAAGACACACCATCATTTTTTCTTCCAATTAAGTTTTTAATCAGTTTTGGGTTCTATTAAATCTCGAGTTTTCTAACTTTCAGACATTTTATTTTAGGCAAATGTAAACACACCTTTTGAATTCTCTGCTTTTCTTCTTCAGACACTTTGAGTTTAATCTCCAGGCTGGAAATTTTTTCCTGAAGCTCTGTGTTTGATACATTGGTTCCAAGATCATCAGACTCATCCACAAGAGCAAGTGTTCCATTATTTGTCTCGTGGGTTAGAGCCAATGGGAAAAGGGAGATGTCCAGATGGGTGTGTGTTGATTGCTAGATTAATACACATCAATACACACACAAGAGATGAGAGAGCAGAGACAGAAACACAGAGAAGAGAGTTAATATCTACCTAATAATAAAAAATATCTAAAGAGCATAAGAAACCATATTTGAAAATTAAGCTGTAATAATTACTTGAAATTATTTCCTATTCGAAGTCAATCAACAATGTTATAACACCTTAATCTTTGTGGTCAGAAACTAAAATTCTCCACTTTATTGTCTAAAGTGTTTTTTATTTTGCCAGTAGTGCTCATAAAAGCTTAAATTATTTTCATTTTCCAGCTTTAAAATTTTTTAATCTTTATTATCTTTAAATAGATATACAATTGGATTCCTTTCTAATTTTTTTTTATCTTTACAGAGTTTCAATTCAACAAATCAATTTATGAGTAAAATGATCTTGATCAATGCCACCGCTTCCTTCACTGAAAACATGCAATTAAATATACACATATCTGATCATCAAAATTTCTTTTTTTTATTTTTTTATTTTTTTTATTTTTGGGGGGAGTCCGGTCATGGGGCCTGAACTCTGGGCCTGGGCGCTGTCCCTCAGTTCTTCAGCTCAAGGCTAGCGCTCTACCACTTGAGCCACAGCGCCACTTCCAGCTTTTTTCTTTTTGCTTATGTGGTGCTGAGGAATCGAACCCAGGGCCTTGAGCATGCAAGGCAAGCGCTCTACCACTGAGCTACCTTCTCAGCCCAAAATTTCTTAAATGTATGTCTAAAATCCATTATTACTTTAAGTTAGAAACTGAGTTTGACATTTATCAGGGATGCAAATTAATCATCACCTTCCAACAAAATGAACAGGTTACTAAAATGTGTATAACACTATAGAAATCTAAGTGGAACTCTAATCATAATGCTTAGCCCAATGTCAAGCTCAGTAAATATCACAGTAGACAGACTCCATAAATGCTGTCTTTTACCCTATAATTAAAACAGATGCTCTAGTATTTGAAAACATGATAGAATTCCCTGGAAAGACAGGAATTTATTTCACCTTTTGGAGTTGAAGATGTTAAAAATCAAAGCTAAGCTCATTTTCACATATAAAAAAACTAAAGCCTATTTTCATAACAACAGATACTTAAATACTTTTAATTAATATTTTAATATATCAAAAATAATTTTAAATATTTTTCAACTGTGCCACAAAAATCTAGGTTTAATTCAAGGTATTAGTCTCAACATTAGAATTTGTATAACTACAAATTTTTCTTTCAGGAAAATAAGTTGAAAAGGAAATTATAAATCTATCACACAAGTTTTAAAACATGCCATAAATTAATGAAATTGGAATAGGAGTTCTTACATAGGCATGTGCTGTCTTGCTGAATACCAGTGGCTCATAACTGTAGTCTCAGCTACTCAAGAGGCTGAAACATGAGTATCAAGATTCAAAGCCATGAGAAGGTCCGTGAGATTTATATCTCCAATGAACCAGAAAAATGCTGGAAGCAGAGCTGTGACTCAGGCAGTAGAAAGTCAGATTGAGAGGAAAAGCTAAGAGACTGCACCCAGACCCTGAGTTCAAGTCCCAGTACTGGCATACACAAAAAAAATGAATGCTGTCATTACCTGTGCTTGAGGAACAGGCTGGCTATCGATGCTGGTGTCTGAGTGTGTGTTTTCTGGTGAAGAGAGGAGCGTGTCGGAAGAGAGGCAGCTGGTGGGGGGAGATGCATGCTCATGACCCAGAACGAGGTCGGGAGAAGCTGCTGAAAGGTGGACTCCGGATACTAGAGAACAACACAAGAGGAAACCAACAAGATGGGTCATGAAGGGGAAGGGGGCAGACAGAAAAGGAACGGGGGAAGGGAAATTAAAGAGACAAGACTGAAAAAATCAGGACATTCTGACTTTCTCAGGGACCACTATAGAAGTCAAAAAAGCCAGGGTTTCTAAGTTAACATGCTTTTTCCATATGAGACCCAAAGAAAAAAGTTTTACCGTATCTTACAGTTTATATACTAACACACTGCCACAACGTGTTCCCAGTTCAAAGAAAAGAATCATACCTATTACATATTCATTCATTCAGTCCAGAAAAATAAGACTGAATTGAAAAGGAAAAACACACACACTCCAGAATGCCTTATAGTGCCAGGCCCAGGCCCAGGCCCATTGCCAGGGAAAGAGATGCACTCCAACACTCAGGGACCTTATGACCCAGCAACTGAACATGGTTAATAATAAAATGAGCAAGAAGAAAGAAAATTATCTTTTTGATTAAAAGATTTTTTCCTGCTAATAGTATAAATTATAAATTTTAGCTTAATGGATAGCTTGTTCAGAAAAATAAAAGCTGAAACACAATTTTGCAGTTAGTTTCACAATAAACCATTATTATACTGTGACTAGAATTCAAATAAAAAGGTCATGAGCAAGCACTCATGCCCATAATCCTAGCAATTCACAAGGCTGAGATGTGAAGATCAGAGTTTGAAGCCAGCCCAGCCAAGAAAGTCCATGAGACTCTCTTACTACCAATTAACCACCAAAAAATGGCCAGAAATGGAGCTATGGCTCAAGTGGTAGAGTGTTAGCTTTGAGCAAAAAAACTCAGGGAGAGCACGCAGGCTTCTGATCTCAAGCTCCAGGACAGGCACACAAAAACAAAACAAAAGGCCCTTAAAGCAAAGTCAATGGCCAAGTATGAAAAAAAAACTTGATGCGTTTAACTATTCAAAAAAATTCAAATAAATATGAACACGGTGTCTTGAAACTGAGGAGGAACTGGTGGACGCGCTCTTTGTCCAAACCACAGAGACCTTTACTCCACATTGGCATCAGTGGCAACGTCAGTGCAGATCTACCACAAACTCTGGAAGGCAGCTCACAGTGGAGATGGCATTGTTCCCTGAAGAGAGACAGTTAGAAGGCCATGAAACATGAAGAAGCTAAAAACTCTATCATTCACTGACACTCTAGCCTATTATTGAAGTATCTTTTTTACTATGTGGCAATACTGTGTCTGTATGGCCATATCAGATAATGAAGAGATTCTAGCTTCAACAAGAGATAATATTCAAATTCAAAAAAATTTGTGTATTTCTTTTTTTCTAAAATTCACTGATACATTTTGTGACACAGAATGCTTCACAATTTGGAAATATTCCAACTTAATTACAACAAAAATATTACTAATCAACTTTGTTGTTGTTGACAGTACTGAGGGCCAGGGTGCTGTCCCTGAGCTACTGTTGTTTTGTTTTGTTTTGTTTTGTTTGCGGGGTAGGGGGGTTGTTTTGTTTTTGATTTTGTTGTCGGTTGTGGGGCTTGAACTCTGGGCATGGGCCCTATCCCTGAGCTCTTCAGCTCAAGGCTAGCGCTTTACCTCTTGAGCCACAGCGCCACTGCTGGTTTTCTGGTGTTTAATTGAGTTAAGAGTCTCATGGACTTTCCTGCCCAGCTTGGCTTTGAACCATGATCCTCAGATCTCAGCCTCCTGAGTAGCTAGGATCACAGGCGTGAGCCACCAGCACCCAGCGCCCTGAGCTGTTTTGTTCAAAGCTAACACTCTACCACTTGAGCCACAGCTCCACTTTTGGCTGGTTAAATGGAGATCAGAGTTTCATGGACTTTCCTGCTCAAGCTGGCTTCAAACTGCAATCCTCAGATCACAACCTCTTAAATAGCTAGGATTACAAGTGTGAGCCACTAACACCTGGCTACTAATGAACTTCTTTAAAAAAATAACTAATGGACTTGTAAAGGTATAAGAATTAGCACACCGCATTGATCAGGGTCCACTGTGACTCAGAGCATGCCCTGGGGCTGGGGGACATACCACAGGCATCCACTTGCCTATGTAATGAGCACAGTTGTCATGGAAGTTTAAATAGGCCAGTAATGTTATCAGCATAGTGTTGCTATTACTCTAGCCACTATTTTAAAGATTCTTTAAAAGTATTAAAAGAGAATTCATTGTATATACCACAGAATCAAGAAAAATATGGGAAGGGGTAGGTCAAAGGAGGTTGCAAATGTTGAAGGGATGACACAGATGATGCATTAGGTACATAAACTGCTTTGTTAAATGGCAAAAAATAAATAACCTAAAAATTAAGAAAAGTGAGGGAAGGAGTGGTGAGAGTATTGAAAGGGATGACACTGATCCAAGATGTACTGTATTCATAAATTGCTTTGTTGAATGGCAACTCCTTTGTACAATATATTCAAAAATAGGAATGGTTATTGAAGAGAATAAAGGCTATTAGATTATGATCCTGGATCCTTCCTCTATAATATTAAATGTTGCAGTGTCTCACATTAGAGATGGAAGGAAAGAACACATGGAAGACAGGAAAAGGGAGAGAGAACAGTGAAGGAGGAGAAAAGAGCAGATTGGGAGAAGAAAAACAAGGAGGAAGGAAAAGAGAAGAGACAGAATTAGGGGAGAATGAGAAGAGAAAATGTGAATGAGAAGGAACAAGGAGGAGGAGGAGGGAGAAAGAGGAAGAGAGGGGAATAAGGGAAAGAGGGGAGGAAGAAAGACAGAAGAGGAGAAAGAAGAATAGGGAAAGAGAGGGAGAGAGAGAAGAAAAGAGGGAGAGAGGGGAGCCCCATCCCTCCTGCAAGCTATAGCTACTCTATCCCTTTTCCTTCATAACCAAACTTGAACAGTGTCTAGTCTCTGATTCCATCTTCTTTTCCCTCATCCCTGTCATTTTTACTCCATGTGTCCTTTCTGTTAGTGCTAAATCAAATGAGCACTCGGCTCCTACCTTCCTCAGTGATCCTGAGCCCTGATGACCACTTCCACTTCCAATGAAATGCTTGCCTTGGTGCCTAGAAAGCTATGGACCTCTAGATGTACCCTACCATTTTAACTCCTTCTGTCTTATTGCTCTCTCAGGCTCTTTCTCCATGAAATCTGCTCATATTTCCTTTATCCCTCCTCTCTGTCACGGCACTGTACACAGAATTGTAGATTAGCACTCTCAAAAAACCCATTACCACCTATGTAATCATCCTACCAACTTCTGGCCCAACTCTCTCCACATCCAGATACTTACCTGTGCTTACCTTATTGGCAAACAGATCCATTTAGATGCCCAACAGGCTCATCAAGCCATTACCATTTTACAGAGCCCAGCTTTGCCTCATGCTTTAACTTCTCGGTTAATAGCACCTCAATGAGCACTGTGCTTGCCCAAGCCAGAAATGATACCAAGCTAAGTGTTAAGTTTAGTCCAGTTACACTGGGCTACTCCATTCCTTGATTAGGTCATATTGTGCAACACTACTGTGACCTCATAACATGACTGCCAAGTTAAAGTCATAGGAGCAAATACCCTGTTATGCAGCCTTAGGCAACTTTGTGTAAGCTTCCCTAAGCCAAAGTTTCTCCTCTAAAGATAGGTAAACTGGATGTGTCTCTGAGATTTACATAGTTTAAATAGGAGACTACTCTAGATAGACAACTTAGCTCAGTGACAGGACATGATAAGTTCAAGAGCACGAGGAAATGGATCAATGAAATTGTCATTTGGCAATATGCAAAACAAGCTTTCCTAACCCTAGTTACTCAGAAGACTAACATCTAAGGATAGAGAAGTTTGAAGCCAGCCTGAACAAAAAAGTCCAAGTCCATGAGATTCTTATCTGCTATCAGCTAGCAAAAGGCCACAAGTGGAGGTCTGGCTCAAGTGACAGAGAGCCAGCCTGGAGCAAAAAAGCTAAGAGATAGGGCCCAGGTCCTGAGTTTAAGTCCCAATACCAGCACAAAAATAAATTTAAACAATAAGGAAGGTATGATTCCTACATGCACATGCAGACATGCTACTCTAGATAGAGTAGCAGCTGGAAGAGGTAGAGAGAAGGAGAAAATATGCTGAGACAAGAATGAAAGTGTACTTTCCCCAGTCAGTAAGAAGTTGGTCAAGCTGGGCCCATTGTGATCACTCAAATGCACTCAGCATTTTGAGAATCATTACATAATGAACCATGAACAGAATGAATCAGATGCTGAGTGCTAGTGGCTCACGCCTGTAATCCTAACTACTCTGAAGGCTGACATCTGAGAATTACAGTTCAGAGCCAGCCTGGGTACACAAATCTGAAAGACCCTTACCTCCAATTAACCAGCAAAAACACCAGAAACGGAGGTGTGGTTCAAGAGGTCAAGTACAAACCTTAGGTGAAAAGCCCAGTGAAAGCGTGGCCCCGAGTTCAAGCCCCAGTATCAACACAAGAGAAAGAAAGGTAGATGAAAGACTGAGAGAATAAAAGGAATCAGAAGACAAAAGGTAAGACAGTGAATTTGCATTAATAGCTAAGATAAGATTTGATATAAATCTGAACTCATTTGATAGAAAACAAGAAGAGGCTGAGGCAAGGGATAGAAAACCTTAACCACTAGTTAATGCCCTTGCATTCCACTTTTACTAAACTTGTGTAACTGAATAAACAAGAGGCAATGTAACTTTAAAGCAAAACTAAAATACAGAATACTTCACTGATTACCCTTATTTCAAAAAAGAGAATCTGACTGGGCATCAGTGGCTCACACCTATAATCATAGCTAAACAGCTGAGATCTGAAGAATATAGTTCAAAGCCATCCCAGACAGCAAAGTCCATGAGACTCTTATCTCTAACTGCCAAAAAGCCATAAATGGCACCGTGGCTCAAAATGTTAGAGCACTAGCCTTGAGCAAAAAAACTCAGGAATAGTGCTCAAGCCCTGAGTTCAAGTCTCAGGACTGACACAAAAAGAAAAAAGAAAAAAAACTCTATAGGGAAACGTCATAAAGAACCATTCATGCCTGTAATCCAGCTACTCAGTAAACTGATACCTACAGATCAGTTTGAAGCCAGCCTGAGGAAGAAAGTCCATGAGACTCTGATCTCCAATTAATGGGCTAAACGCCAGAAGTGGAGTTGTGACTCAACTAGTAGAGCCTTGAGGAAAAAAAAAATTAAGGGACAGCACCAAGGCCCTGAGTTCAAGCCATCCTATTGGGTGGGGGAAAAAAAAGAACAACTTCAACAGCAATAGAGGTTTTATGGGGAGAGGAAAGAAAAACAGGCTCTGTTGGGCTAGCAGGGGTGAAACAAGATGAATATGGTTAGCAAAAGAAAATGGAACAATTTAGTCTGCTGAAGCTGTATTATGAAGGTGAAGGCAGAGCAGGGGGAGTGATGCAGGGAGGGGTGAGTTGCTTGAATGCATCTATACCTACATGTATAGTACCTAAAGGGATACATGCATGGAAACAGTATGATGAAATCCCCCCTGGTATGTAGCTAATGTATAAAAAAGCATTTTTAAAAAAGTAAAAAAAGCCAGGTGCTAGTGGCTGACGCCTGTAATCCTAGCTCAGGAGGATGAGATCTGAGGATCGAGGTGCAAAGCCAACCCCAGGCATGAAAGTCCATGAGACTCTTATCCAATAAACCACTCAGAAAACCAGAAGTGGTGCTGTGGTTCAAGGGGTAGAGTGCTCACCTTGAGCTGAAAGGAACAGCGCCTAGGCCCAGAGTTCAAGCCCTATAACTAACAAAAAAAAAAGTAAAACATAAACAAGAGAAAAAATTTTTACTAGAGATAGTATGTATAGAACTTGTAATAAGTATTAGAAATTGATTTTTGACAACACCATGTATAGATGCTTAAAATGCTTAATTAGCTTCCTCTTCCTGTAAGTGATGACCTGTGAAAATGAGTCACTATGCTCTTGTCCTGGGAAAACCCCACAAAGTCATACAAGTCAGGAGGTTCCAATCTTTGTGTTCACTTTAAGAACACCAAAGAAATGGCCCAGGCCATCAAGGATATGTATATTCAAAAAGCTACCAAGTATCTGAAAGGTATCACTTTAAAGAAGCATTGTGTGCCATTCCAGCATTACAATGG